TGCGTCAACTGAGATCTAAAGGACCAAAAAGTCACCTGGAATATTAAGAATGCAGCTGTTGTAAACAGTCGGATTAAACAAAGAGTGAACGTTTCAAAATCTAAAAAAATTATACGAGGCGATAATTTACAGCCGTACTATTTTGTGCTTTATTTATTGCTGTAAGCGGTTTTAGCGTAACATGAAAAAGAAGCAAACTAGCGCTTAGAGCGTATCTCTTTTTGACTACCTGATCACCAGGTTTTACAAGAAAAAGAACAACATTTTCTGAAATCTTAGGCTCCGTGTGCTGGAGGCGCGGCCTCGCAACTTGTGATTTAAGTCATTTCATCAGCAGTTAACTTTTTTGGACGTTATTTATGCTCTCCCCCTCAATAATTTACCACCTCATCGTGGCTGAGATGTCCTGAGTGTCGAGGTGAGATGAGTAAGTCTCCTGCAGGGCCTGCCAGGGTGAGTGTTCGAGATTCCCACGCGGAAGCCCATGGAAAGCATAGGATCGATCGTAAAGCCGCGCTAGAACTTACCGTTGTCTAAGCAGCGATGTCCTACTGTTATTTGTGGCGACTGCTTGAGAAACCTTCAAAAAAGATTCCTTGAGGCTCCAAGAAACAAAACAGGAAATATTTACATTATTTTATTTTATATATTCCTTTCACTTTGTTCCTATAGTAACCACAGAAAGTTAATCTTGTCAAGATGACCCGCTGATAAGAATGGTAATATAACACCATCTATACATAACGCTTCTTTGTAGCCATAAAATGTTTGCTTCTATGTGTTCAACCTCGATGCATTTGTATAGCAGAAATACCCTCCATCCCTACCGGCGACAGTCTCCGAGGACAACTGTCTATGTAGCAAGTAAAGAAACCGTTTCAGGACTCAGCGATGCAGACAGCCTTGCCCCAGTCAGTGTTTTGCTTCTTGAAAATTTTAGTATGCATAGAGTAGGTTTTCTTAGGCCACGGTACCTAAATCCATGGTAGAGATGCTGTTGGGTTAATGCAAAGGTATCGTAGGTACTGCAGAAAATGTTAGTGCAGTAAACGAAACTGCTGTGAATGAAAGTATACTGAAATATCCTCAAATCAGCACTCACGAAGCTTAAATCACTGCATATGCTCACGGATGTATTAAGAAATAAAGGTTTGCTGTGGATCTTACAAAATTGCCTTAATGGTTTTGTATCATAAATAGTTTAAAAATACCCACGTACCTTAAATCGCCACTTATGAGAGAAGTAGAGAAAAACAAACTAAAAAATGAACTTTATTGTGTAAAAATTCCTTTTATAGCAGTATTACCTTATCATGTCGTAGATAGCGTGTTTTGACTAAGCATGACTGATTATATACCTCTCTCGTACTGCGAGCCCGTCAATGATGATTTGTATTGCTTAGGTCATTACTGTTGATGAGTAATTGCTGAAAGCAGCGTCAGAGAAAGAAAACTAGCTACGTGAAGGCAAAACAAAAGTCTGGGCTGGTGTAGTCGATAGCACGTGAGACATTAGGAAGAGTAATCGCGGGTTTAAATCTGGCTGGGGATCCAGGCTTTGCAAGCAACTTAGCATCACTGTGGTTGTATTTAATATAATACTCTGCCGTTAAAAGTAATAGAGAGTAGGTAAAAATTAATGTATTAAAAATAGATTCACCTTTATAGAGGTCATACTGGCTACACTGTCCCCTTAGGAATGGCTCCTTTAGAAATCACATAGTCGCCAGTGTATTAAAGGCTGCCCAGAAAAACTCCTATTTGTAGTAGAGAACTGAGCGACTTGACACATAAAGCGATCCCCACATTTTAAAAAGATTTATATTTTTGGTATTTCATCTAGAAAAAATCTAAGATTTTTTCGGCTCTCTTGAATGACTTTGCGTAGGCCAACTTATGACAATAGTTGGTACTCTTCTTTATATTCTTGTTGAGCAAACGCATGGTGTTGTTCTACTTTTTATCCAGGCAAAGGCGAAATCTGCAGAAACGTCAGCTTGTTGGTGAATAAAAAATAGAGTAACACCTCGTGTTTGCTCAACAAGAATATAAAAAAGCATTTGATCAATGCAGAGATTAATAGAAAGTCGGTCGTGGGATTAATGCGAGTTAACATCCTAATGAAACTATTTGAGCCGCTCTAGACATACTATTGAATCTTAAAATTCCTGCTTTCTGAAGTGGACTAACTTCATGCAAAACTGTTGATGAATAGGAATGGTGGGACATATTTCATGAATTACAGAAAGATAATTGTAGAGAAAACGAACTGGACAATAATTAAGAAAAACCAACTGGTTACATTTCCTCGGCAAGATTATCGTGCTAGATTCACCACATGTCCGGGACTCCTTCTTTGTGAAGGTACTAGCGTAATGGAAAGTCACTAGAATCAATGATTTCATCACCTTGTTTTTGGGTCAACGAAGCGTTTTTCCACCCTACTAAGTCGGTAAATTGGTGACGAGTTTTTCTGGCAAAGACTCCCTCCGAGCCCCAAACGTCAGCCGATGCCTCCAGTAAGACCAGAAGTCTCTCTAGCACATCTATACCAACACTCCAGAAAAAATCTACTCACGCAGGTTGCAGCGACATTTATGAAGAAGAAAATCCCTATGCAGCACCCGATCTCACAGAAAATTCAGAATATATCATAGATGACGGATGCTAGACAATAGGCCGTATACCCGTTGACGGGTGATTGCTGATGGCAAAAAGATCGATAGAACTAGTTGAGATACATGCAAAGCGAAAGACCCGGATGGTGTAGTGGTGAAGTGCGCTGCTCCCCGGTAAGGACAACAGCGCGTGTTCGTTCACCACTGCATACACCTGTGGTCCGGAGTTTTGCAGATATCTCAGCACTTCATACGAGTTATATTTCACAGCATACCCTGCCATTAAGAAGAAAAAGGCAGTAAATAAAAGAGTTAAGATAGGCCGTATAGTTAAAAAACCACGGCTTTAACAAGAACTTGAGCTCAACCTCCACATGTAGGCGGCGTGCCCTTCTCCAAATTCGCCACAACTGCGAATTGAAAAACTTACGGAGTTCTGTTTCAAGATCCTCGATGTTTTCTGATGTGCTTACCATGATGGTTTTTTAGGCTCAGAAATGTTAAGCATTTAAGGCGCAAATTCTAGGACATGAGGCAAGACGTGCAATAGTTTCCTAGGCTTTCATTAAAATCGAAGCTGCTTGCGTTTTTTCCCAGTTACCAAGAGATAAACCCGATCCTCAGTTTCCTTCAACCATCGTAAGCAGCTTCTCACGATAGTCTTCAATATACAACACCATATCATCGTCATCAAAAAAGTGATGAGAACTTTACTGGCAAGACGGATTGCTCTTTGTTCAACTGACTGGCTACTTCGTCAGCGATAACCAGAAAGCGTACAATGCGTTGATTTACATGCCGATTTCGCCCCACAATGAGGAAATCGTTCCATAAGCACGCCAGCAATGTCGATCAACTTTTGCGAAGTTTATCGGTTGCAGCTGTTCGAAAAGACTAGAACAATGACTGCTTTAAAGTTGCTTCCGTACAATCTTCAAGTTGGCAGCGTATCTTAGGTAACCGATATTACTGCTATTCTGTATCAGTTCTAAGGCACTGTTGCGTTTTGGAAATATCTCTTCAAGAACAGAAAAGGAGAGCAAAAAATTTGAAAATGAATCCAGATGTTCATTTTCTTATTCACCCAGAAAGAAAAACCTCAAACGGAACTTCAACAAAAACATTGTTTCCAGTAAAAATTGAACGCTAGTGTATGACTTCTCTCAACGATATACGGCCATTCGTAAAACTTAGACCACAAGCCAGATCGAACAACGATTTCCCTTTCAGAGGAAAGTCCGTATAGAGAACATTCTTCACGAATATTGGAATGTTCTCTATGTAAATCAATTATAACCTTTCCAAACAGTTCAAATGCTTCTCCCATGACCTTTTCTCTATGACGATCTGATAGCCGTATGTCTAACATTTCGATGGCGCCTATCTCGTAAAATATCTGCACTTACGGTCCTAGGCTTTGAATATCGCCCTATCAGATCGCAAGGCTTGTGAAATGCTTCCAGCACCCGTCTTTTTGCCTACTGTAGCCCAACTCCGCCTACTGTAATCTGACTCCGCCCAGCGCAAAGGTATATAAACGGCTCCACGGTTAGCTAGCTCATGTCACAGCAATGCTGCCCAAGTCACCACATTCGTGCGTCACATCCATCTCATGTAGTAAAAGTGTTATGCCAATCTCTTCACTCACAAACAACCTGAACACCAGTGATCAGGCTGCGCCTACTCATAACCAGTATCATTGTTACATTAATTGTAGAGTTGTATTGCTATGATTGTTGTATAATTATGACAAACGGTTTAATTACCCAAGTTTGAGGTTTCCCGCATTGTGACTACTACTTACAAGAAGTCCCGCGTGGCATACACAAAGGCGAGCAGCAAATTCCGACCGAATCATCTTAACTACTTGGTATTCCTATATAATCTAGCCGTCCCACCATAGTCCGCATTACACACTGCGCCATGCAAGCCCTTGCTTTGAGTTTCTCTCAGCTAGTTTTCCAGCTAACGCTGCCATCAGCAATCACCCGTTAGCGGTGTTAACGTTTTATTTGCTGCCTACTATGCTCACATCATGCCCTGCCGTGAAAACTATAGAAGGCAGCAAATGAAATTAGCACTGTTAGCACTGTGAATTCGACTACGGCCTCAGCTTAACTGGGTTCAATGCCGATTTGGGCTCCTTAGATCAATTCCGCTGACGGGTGATTGCTGATGGCAGCGTTAGGTGGAAAATTAGCCGAGAGAAACGCAAAGCAAAGGCCTGCATAGCGCAGTGTGTAATCCGCGAGCCCCTGAAAGAGAAGTCGTTGTTCGATCTGGCCCGTGGTCTAAGTTTCGCGAATATTTCAGCATCATTGTGGTTGAGACATTTATAAACCAACGCCGAGGTTAATAGTAAGGCGACTCTGTAAACTTATGACTTAAAATTCTTCAAACGATCACACAGTAGACTCTTATTGATAATTCATTTCGACACACCTACTAACAATAGAATATTTACAGTTCCATCCAAAACAAACTTGGATTCAATTACATTTCACTAAAACCTCAAAATGACTAGCACTCAACTATATTCTACTGTACAAAGAAGAAATCCAGTTGAGCTACGCATGCATATGAAGCTTCTGGCTCTCCGAATACGAATTTTCCTGAATTTAGAATCTATATTCCTCTTTACTAAATGCGAAGAAAATTCAAGAAACTTCAAAGGTAGCTCACATAGCACGCGATTTTCAATCATGTGTGTCACTACGATATTTTCATATGAAACACCGCTTACCATGTCTCTAAGAGCAGCCTTTTTCGCTTGCGCCATCGTCGGTGAATGACGTGAAATGACATTAGTTATGTAGAAATCTGCCAACACGTGTTGTGCAGGTGTCACATTCATATCAACAGGACCAGCCTAAAATTCGTATCGGGTTGATAAGAAAGAAAAGGGTTCTTTTCTTCGGAGCTTCAAAATTTTAAAAACAAATAATTAAATAAAGAGTGTTTCACAATACATTTTTTTTGGTCACAATGTTACAGTATTTGCTGATTCATATATCCCCATCCTAAGCCTTACCTACCTCAAAACGAATTTCCATCTCTGCTTTTAAGTGCGTAATTTTCAGTAACTTTTGGACGGAAATTCAAATAATTTTGCAGGCAAGAAAAAAGGATCGTTTTACTTCATAACAGAAGGTACAAATAGTGAAAATGACTCGAACTATCGAAAAATAGGTTAAAAAAGCCCTTGTAACTGCGTAGTCCCTAGATGGTTCGAAAATATTCGTAAAGAAGATGTGATTCATGAGAGCAAAGAAAGGCGAAGGTTCATATCATGAAGTGACTATCGAGTCTAAACTACTCTACCTCTGACCTCTAAAAACTCTAAAGACCGCAGAAGTACCAGACACTAATCATCAGCTGACATGCGAAAAATGTTGAGACGTTTAAAAAGTTCGATAGACAGATGTTATACTAATTCGAAATAAAACCAGGAGATCGTTAATGTGAAGTATTCATCGTGCTTCTTTTACACAAAAAAACGATCAGTTTCTTGATCACATGGTAAAATACGACGAGATTCAGACTCTGGACGACAGTCGACAAAATTAACCACATCTGCTAAACCAAGATGAAGTTCAGAGGGAAAATAACTACGGTAGTGAAGTGTTGTCAGACAGTCAATAAAAAGGAACCAGAAACTGCAGTTTGTGCGGATAAAATTAGACAACAGAACAGAGTGGCGACATCTTTCTCGCTCACATGTTACACAAAGAATACTGCGGAAATGTAATAAATTCAGCTACGCGATTTTACCTTAGTGTATGTTCAGCAAATAAGCCTTCTAAGATCTCGTCGCTCTCAGAATGCTACGGCAATGAGTAAATTTTCTTGGAGAAAATGAGAAAATTTTAATGATTCTTGTAAATAACAAGTTGTATCCCAAACAAATTACATTTTGAAGCTGCTGCATCGAAAAAGCCATTAATTTTTTCTGTTATTCATTAATACCTATTAAAAATCGGGACTAACTACTTCATTTCAAAGAAACAAGCACTTATATAACATGTAAATGTATTATATTTTCAAGGAAATACTTACCGATGTCTGTGCTATTTGTAAAGCTTGTTTAAGATAACCAGCTCGTTCAACATCGCCGAATCGAACAAGATGTGGAGCGATCTGCAAAGCAGTTCTTGAGTAATATGACAATAGTAGACGCAATACCATCCACATTTGCGATGCGGTACATTCCATAGAATCACATGCGGTGTGGCGAATCTTAACCATCATAGATTTTATAACGGGCGTCGGACGTGAACAGCTTTGACAGGCAAGTATTATTTCAATTCTAATCGCTATTATAAACCATAGTTATTGGATGGCACACTCGACATAAGTTGCAAAACACTTAAAATATTGACAGTAATGTGTGTAATCACAATCTTAACCTTTTTATTTACTGCCTATTCTTTTTAACGGCAGGATATTCTGCGAAATATAACTATTATAATGCTGAGATATTTGCAAAACTCTGGACCACAAGTGTCTAAGGTGGGGAACGAACGCGCTATTATTGTTTCCAGGGAGTAACGTTCACCACCACACCATGCAGTCCCTCGTTTCGCCTGTCCTGTTTAGTTACCCAAGTTTGAGAGGTATTGTAAGCGCGAGTCGTTCAACATCCACCGGTCGGTTCTTTCAGCTGCGGATGAACAACCTTCCGCTCTCCTCGGCGAATTCCGAAGGCAAGGAGCTGTCACTGGATGACTACAATGGGGTGCGATTACCAGACAAATCTCTTGCGGATAATACGGATAATTCGGTTGCGAGCTGGAACTCTGTCAACAGAATTAAGCTGTCCAATTTGCCTAGATCTACTGACTCAAACAATGACTACAAAAGAATGTCTTCATCGATTTTCTGCAGATTGCATCACGACTGCTCTTTTTCGAGTAAACAAAGAAGGATAGATACCGAAAGATATTAGTTTTGAAACGTTCTTTGAAGCCGGAACCTAACCTTGATTCACTAATTACAAAGATTTGTTTGCAGCACAAACGAACATGGATGCATTGCGAAGTTCCATAGACGAAAGCATCAAGGCACATGAAGTTAATAGACGAAAACGTGTTCAGGGATCATATGAATGTAAAAAGCGGAAGAAAAGACGAGAAGAAGACGGGTCGACGAATGGAGTGGAGGACTGCACAGGAGACAACGAGTCAAGTTCCCCAACTGAAGACGATGGAGATAATAACGTGCCCGTGTCTTGGACTAGTGCGACAACTACTGCCTTCTGTGCTGGTCTTTCCAACGATTTTGTTGAAGAAGAGGAAATCGTCGATGAGCTCGACATTTTAACTGAAGAAGAACTGCAAGCAGAACTTGATGAGTTGGAGGAGGTGGATATCGATGAGACCGAAGATATCAGGAGTCGAGGAGTGATGATGCTAGCGATTCCTCGTCATCAACATACAGCAGCTCTGGGGCCTCTTGTGCCATCACCAGCTTCCTCTTTTTTGTCTCTATCTCACTGTAGCGATGAGTCTCCGCCATGCGTATATGTCAATGGAAGTCTAAGTAGGACACCTGGAGTAGAAAACTCCATTACTCCAATGATGCTACACACGAGCAACGATGACACCGCATAAACTATAATCGCGCATCGGTACTTCATCCTAAAGAGAGATTAAGCCAGTGGTTGGAGGAAAATCCTTCTTCACCACATGAGGACGGATGATTGTGACATGATGGACCTACCTGTGTCTGGTGTTGACGAGATTGAAGCGGAGCTGCTACCTTCAGCTGCATTGCTCCGTGAACAGTGTAATGAGGAATTGTCTTCGTCTCGCTATATACGGACTAAACACGACACTACAATGGAGCATTTGGCTGAATTAATCCATCTACGCGTAATGGAAGAAGTTCAGTCTAATCAATCTGATTTTGATGCCGATCCTGTACCGTCCCTCTCCCTCAACATTTCTACGTTTTTAGTCGCAATAACGATCATCATATTCGGAAAATTTTTTGCACGAAACAATGCTAACAGCACAAAGTGCAATAACTCGAGATGATCACTTGATAATATTCTTCGATACCGAGCCACAACAGCTTCGTGAGGAAAAATCCAGTGTGCTTGAAGACCTCGTGCATGCGCACTTCCTTAGTTTACCTCACGTATGCTTTCTAGTGAACAAATTTTGGGATCATTTTAAGTTTAATACGAATTTATACTCCTATAAGGTATTGTATATTTGTTGTAGCTTCCTGTAATTACGAGTTGAACAAATGCGTCTTTTCATTTCAGCTGTTTTGTATGTGTCCTTGATCTCAATACCTTTCGTCGGTGTGAAGAATTGTTTGAGAACTACAGCTAGATAACCTTTTCTCAAAAGAGGTTTAATATTAATTTAGCAACGTTTTCCCATTGTTCATGTCACATGTTAGTCACATTGCTGTTGGACCTTCTTTTCTGATGAATTTTGGGTGATAAAGAAAACCAGGTAATTGCTGATGGCAAAAGATCGATAGAAATAGCTGATAGACAGGCGAAAAGAAGGACCCGCATGGTGTGGTGGTGAACGCGTTACTCCCCGGAAAGGACAATAGCGCACTCGTTCCCCACCGCAGACACCTGCGGTCCGGAGTTTTGCAAATATCTCAGCATTATAATAGTAATGTGTGTGTTTAATGGACCACATATATAGTGGAAAAGAACATATGGTGAGTGATTAACATCGTATCATTATCACACATATCATTCATGCTTATAGAAGGATAGAGCAAAGTCTCTTCTACAGTTTACATGCTTCGAACCACTCAAGTTCTCCAGTTATAAAGAAGCTATCGCCTATTTTCTGAAAACCGGGGCACTTGTAATGCTGAGCGCCGTCGCAAGCTGCAAGTAAGGCCGCCAAGCACCGGGCGTTGCGAACGTGTTAAATAACAGTAAGAGGAAGACATAAGTAAAGTTGAAAAGAAAGAGAACACAAAGGCGAAAACGTGAACCGCACCTCTACCTTTCTCTCGTTTACTCTTATCTGTAGCATTACAAATCAAAAAGCTGCAAATTAACTGGAAAACTAGCCTCAGAAATCCTATGACGGAGTTGCTTAATATCATCATATGGTAACGACTTTCCTGCAACTTCCGAGATAGCTCTGACAATTTTCCAGTCTACGCGAGCATCACCAGGTGGCGAGACTGCTGGTAGAGTCCTAAATTGATGCGTAGTTTGAAACACTGCATAATAACATCATCTCTACACTGATGTAATACGATAGTTACCTTTGAGCACGCCCTTCCGTGTTCACGTATGTACCTTCCTTCTCTGTGTAGGCAGCGCCGGGTAAAACCACGTCAGCCATCTCCGCTCCATTATCTCCATGATGACCTAAATAACCTAAGCTTTTCTTAATAAGACCTTTCAACAAACTAACAGACGATCCCATGAGTTGAACAGTATTCTTTTACAAACACAAAACAAACGTCTCAATTGCACTATTACGAATGCTAATCATAACCTTGATATACAATAAAGGCAGACGGATCTAGATTCTGGCGTGTGAGCTTGCCTTCATCTGCCCCCAATAAATACAAGAACTTGATTGGTTTCTTCCGAATCGCAGCTGTTCCAGCCTAAATGATGAAAACTATCAAGTTGATATAGGACACTACTTCAATAACGCAATAGAAGAAAATCCTTTAAAATACAAACTCACTTTATATCCAACATCCAATGCTCCCACCTGATCTGCCCATTGGTGTAAAACATTAACGACATTTCGCAACTTATCACACTGTCTATTTGACCGGGCCTTTTCCGCCTACAACGTCTTTCCTTTAATCTTGGAACCTCAGTAGAATACAGTAAAAAAAAACCTAAACATAAAATCTATTAAGCAGAAACGACTAAAATACTTAAATACGAGGAAAAAAGTTGAAACAAGCAGGTTAGAAGAAGAATTAAACAGACCAACTGCTGAACCTTTGCGAGAAGGCAAGCTCCTTTCTCGCCTTGTATTACAGCAGACCCAAGGATAATCATGGGATACTTAGCCGACAAGAACTTCTATAACAGGAAAATATTTCGATTTTTAAAAGATGATAAACAGATCTTCTTAAGCTGACGCGAGGTTGGTACAGATCTTCGCTGTCGTTGTCGTTGTTTTTGATGTTATTGATCGATGGCTAGGACTGGCCCGCACGTAACATCACGGTGAGTGGCCTTTCTGTTCAATACGGCATCTATTTGAAAGTTTGATCTTCATTAACACTTTAACCTTTCTTTTCCACCGAATAATAAAAATATTCTAATATTAAATACGTCCAGGCTCTGAGGAAGGCGAAATCACCAAAACGTCAGCCATCGATCAATAACATCAATAACATCAAAAACAACGACAACGACAACGAAGATCTGTACCAACCTCGCGTCAGCTTAAGATCAGTTTATAAGATCACATAAATAAATATATCAACTATCTATGCCAAGGTTTATAGAAAGTCGGTCTTTCGAGTTATTAAGAAGATAAACACTAGCTTCACATATGAGATTCCTAGGGCAGAAAAAAGCTGGATCAACTATAATATTGCCGAGGTATTTGCAAAACTCCGAACCGCAGGTGTCTTCGGTGGGGAAAGAACGCGTTATTGTCCTTTCCAGGGAGTAATGCGCTCACCACCACACCATGCGTAGACAGAGGCGAAACGAAGGACCCGCATGGTGTGGTGGTGAGCGCGTTCGCCTCCAGAAAGGACAATAACGCGCTCGTTCACAACCGCAGACACTTGGGGTCCGGAGTATTACGAATTTCTCAGCAAAACTGTGGTTGTATTTCGCTTAATACCCTGCCGTAAAAATTCTAGTAAGCAGGAAATAAAAGGTAAACATTGTGGATCAACAATGTTTTGAGCACAACAAAATAAAGTATAAAGGTCCAAGCGTCGATCAATCCCTGAGGGATGCGCCATGCACTCGACTTCATTAAGCGCCGTTGAAGGCAATTGAATGCATATCCGGCCTTTACAATGAATTGCGGTAGACTAACGATGTGTCCAGCCAGTGCTGCTATCCTTCCGGACAAGCATGATACAAATTTGCCTACTCCGTAGAGATGGAAGGCTTGCTAAGTCATGGGCGCGGTGACCGATCCATGTGTCACCTCCGACCACTGCGCTTCATGCGCCCTTTTCGAGCACAATATAAATAATAACTGTGACAAATTACACCTATAATTTAAAAGAAACATTTCAACATGACATTATACAATGATAAAAGCACCCACTTTGGCAAATGGCGACTTCCCTAATAACAAATCATCAAGGGCTTTTGCATTGTTACCAAGATACTCATAATCATAGGTGAGGTCTGACTGTCCACCAATCACCGCCACTTCGATATCAGTGTAAAGATAACTAAAGTCAAATCTCCGAAATAATATTACAACACATGTTACGACACTATTCCTAACTGAGTAAAAATAATACAAAACATAAAAAATGGTAAAAAAAAATAGTGTAAAAATCCGATAGAATTTTGAAGAACTACGACAAAAAAGCACTAACGTTTTCCTAATTCTCGCGTTTAACACAGGGGCCTCATATCGGGGATTTGTTCCAACAAGTAGAAGTGCGTCGCAGTTCTCAATACCACATATGGTGTCGTTCATGATGTAGTTGGACCTTAACAATAAAAAAATAAAGCTCATGGAGCTGAAAAATAGTTGAGGAATGCGCCAAGCGTTAGAATCGCTGGAGGTGAATGAATGCATATCTGATCTTTACTATGACCTGCAGAGCCCTACCGACGTATTGAGCTAGTGCTGCTACAGTCCCAGATGAAATATAATTCTAGACTCTGTTTAAAATCCCCTTTCGCCAAGTGTTCAGTAAATGTTTGGACTTTAAATACATTCAAAATCATTCGTGTGGTAAACACTATTGTATTCAAACAGACCTTAGATCAGATGTAGCGGGAAAATCTTCTTCAGTGCACAAATTCTCAGAGTTGAACCGATTGAAGAGATCTTTTAATGCTACCATGGATTCTAAAATATTAAAAAGACACATTAAATGGAACTTACCTACTTAACTTAAACTTAAAACTTAAATGGAACCTACTTACCAGAAAGATTGCATATATATTTTACATAACCATGAACATGTCATTGATTTAAAGGCACAAGTGCGTGAAAATAAACGCAACTTTATCCATAGAATGCAGAAGCAACGGACAAATTGTGTTGGTTTGTATAAAAAGCCATCAAAAACACTATTTCAGCTCTGGTTTAATTTACACTAAATAGGTCAGTAGTAGGTCTAGTCAATGTAACTACACATTGAGAGACATTATGCATAGTAAAATGAGAGGAAAATGACATCAACACACTGTTGAAAATGCCCACCGACATCGCACAGTCCACCAACTACGGCAGCTCTCAGATCGGCAGGTGTATCGCGAAGTTTTTTCGCTATGGTGAACAGTGCCTCCTCCCAGGAAGTTTGCCTAAAACAGAATTGCTGCTAGGGACATAGATACGCCGATAATGTTAAATAGAAAGGATAACGCCAATTGGTACCAGACTTGTCTGGGAGAATAGCAGCACTGGCTCGATACACGGTTGGCCACCGCGAGTCATTGTCAAGGTCAGGTATGCATTCAATCACCTCCAAACGATACTTAATGAAGTTGAATGCATCATGCAACCCTCAAGGATTGATCAACGCCGACAGCTTGTTTATTTCTACTTCACGGCATATTGCTTTAGGTGAAGATGTTAGCAGCAAACTTGTCACTAGGGAATGGTTGAGTGATCATCGACATTTCTAGCCGACGTTGATCAATCCCTGACGGATGCGCCATGCATTGAGTGCATATCTGGCCTTTACAGTGGCTCCCGGNAGCAAACTTGTCACTAGGGAATGGTTGAGTGATCATCGACATTTCTAGCCGACGTTGATCAATCCCTGACGGATGCGCCATGCATTGAGTGCATATCTGGCCTTTACAGTGGCTCGCGGTGGTCTACCGATGTATCGAGCCAATGCTGCTATCCTCCTAGACAAGTCTGGTACCAATTAGCCGACCCTGGATGGATGGAAGGCTTAGTGGGCCATGGGCGCAGGGATCGATTCCTTATTGTATTGCAGGGCGCCTCAGACCACTACGTCACATAGTCCTTTATGGAAGTTAATAGAGCAATTATTACGACGTATACCTGAGAACACCATCCTGATCCTTGATCATTGGGCACAGTAAACGTTGAATTTTGAGTCCATCAATGGCAAAGCGCGTTTTATCACTGATCCATTCTTCGTTGACATCCTGAAACTGAAAAGCTATAGATGAAAAATGATCAAAAAAGATTTCCAACAAATTTGTGACGATATTACACATATCAGATATGCACAATTTCGACAAGCAAATCTTGGTATTTTCATACTAAACTTTCTTAATTCAAATAAATCAATAGAACAATCTCTACCAGCAATATGCAAGTCCTGCATGTTATAACACCAGAATTAATTTAGGGTCTTCTTAACGAGAATCTTCTCCTTTCCCTATGTTAACATTCGTTTTTGAAAAGTAGGATTAACTAAACAAATGGAATTCCGCTATCCGTTAAAAACCTCATGATGTCGAATAAATTTGAAACTATGGAGAATTGGTAGATTATTCTGGAAAAGTTACACAACCATTTGAGCAACACTGCAAACCCTCATCTATAAATTTTCTAAAGCTCTTATATACGTCCGTACTAGTATAAGCAGTTGGCGTGAAACCGCTCTCGTGAACTTCTCAATGCATCTTTTATTGACTTTAAGGGAAAATAGGACTATAGCACCACAGTGTTACCACGTTTCAAGTGAGTTACCCAGAGTTACCGTGAGATGGATGCCAAATTGAACAAAATTGTTTACGTCGTTCATTTTAGGTAAGACACGAAGCAGTTCGCCAGTCCTATGAGATAAAACAATGTTCGATCCTATTGCATCCATGATGTCTACACTCTCCGTCTTTCGTGTTTCCCACGGTCGCGCAGTAAAACTGCAATGAAAAGAAGAGAAAAACATGGTTTAAAATTTTGAAGATTCCAAAGAAGGAAATATTAAATATTTTAAAGAAGAAAGACTTAAAGATTCTCGAAGATGATAACAGTAAATTGAAACTAAAACCAATATAGAACAAAGATAAAGGCGCATATAAGCACTAAACGGTGTTACATAATGTGAAGGAACTATCAGTATAGAGTTCAATGGTATATTCAAATGACCAAAAAACTTCACCTGTAGGGCTTACTAGTAAGGGCACCGACCGGGCACAAATCTATGATGTTGCCTGATAACTCAGATGCGAAAAACTTCTCAACATAGGTGCCAATCTAAACGGTGACCAACGATGCACGGGAAAATAAAAAAAATGTGGAAAAACAACCAAAGAAGTGTCTACAAAGTTAAGTATCCTAAACACTAAGCCGCGAACGAAGAACAATAGCATAAAAATCACCTGGAGATCCACTCCACGTCCCGTAGTTCCAAGGTCAGGAAAAGCAGCTACCTTCAGGAAAAGTATTTCTAAGTATGGCGTAGTGTTACTTTTTATTAAATTTTACCTCATTTGCAAAACGAACACAACGAGTACACTGGATGCACCGAGTCATAACAGTCTTAACAAGCGGACCTATGTTCTTGTCTTCAACAGCTCTAAAACAATATCAGTGACATACTGATGTGCAATATCTTCACTTGACCAGCTGATAAGTAAATAAAAGGATAAAGAACAAAGCCTCGGCGTTGACCAATCTCTGAGAGATACACCATGCATTCGACTTCATCAAACATCGTTTGGAGGTGACTGAATGCATGTCTGGCTTATACAATGACTCGTGGTGGTCTACCAATGTATGCAGTCAGTGCTGCTATCCTCCCAGACAACTCTCATGCCAGTTTGCCGCCTCCAGAGGGATGGAGAGCTTAGTGGGCCAGGACAGCGGGAATCGATCCCATGTGCATTGCAGGGTTCCTCCGACCACTGCTCTACATGCGCTCATTCTCCTGATAAGTAGACATAAATATGACCTCTTCCCATCGTATTCACATTGAAGGCGACCACGATCACATCCAAAAGCGACGGACTGGTCCTGTAGATCACATTCGCCTCCCTTAAAATTGCAAATATCGTTTCTGGTGCAAACGACGTTCAAGAAAATATAACCTGGTCACAGATAGGACAGTCTAGTGGATGATTGAAAAGAAGAAATTCCATAATCCCTTCACGAGCTTTTTTAACGAAGTCAGAATTGGTTTTCACTTTCATTCCTTTCATCACAGGCATCGCACAGGATGCTACTGGCTGAAAAGAATTCCTTAAAACGCATAGAGCTATTTCAGAGCTTCCCAGATTTCTACCTTCATGCTTTTTTCCACCTCAACAAGACACATTCGACAATTGCCTGCTATTGAAAGACGGTCGTGATAGCAGAATCGCGGAATGTCTACCCCAACTAAGGCACATGCCTGAATATAATTTAAAATGTGCAACCGCTATCATCAATAAACCAGCTAGTATATGCTTTCTTGCTTAATTGGCTAGTTTGTGGTAAAATTAACACTATGTTTAGTGCTCACACTACAGAACGTCTTAACCAAATTCAGACATAAGCACAAGGAATGATGGTTTCGAGGACGTAAATGATACTCGTATGAGATGCTGAGATATTTGCAAAACCGGATGACCCGGATGGTGTAGTGGTGAAGTGCGCTGCTCCCCGGTAAGGACAACAGCGCGTGTTCGTTTCCCACTGCATACACCTGTGGTCCGGAGTTTTGCAAATATCTCAGCATCTCATACGAGTTATAATTCGAAACATACCCTGCCATTAAGAAGAAAAAGGCAGTAAATAAAAGAGTTAAGTAAATGATACTGTTAGAAACTCAAACAAGTACCATGGAAACTGAGAAATCCACACCAAAGAAAGATCCGATCAAACTAATGAACGTTTCCGAAAATCACCTGTAAGATGGTTAGACCTGGGTCTACGAATATTTTCTTGTCATTAATAAACACTTCGATCTTTTCTGGTGATGTAACAGTCGACTGAGCTCGTCGAAACACTACTTTCCCGCGGCTCACCGCATGCACCACAGAGCCAGCGCGGTGCATACCCTGAAGACCCTAAAGGTCGGTACATAAAAAAAAAAACAGGATCGGCAATGGAGTATAACAAAAATTCTAAAGTATTCCTTAGCGGCTTAACCTATTCAACAGCGACTATTTGTAGAATGAAATATTTATTTCTATATGAATACAACTATAGAATGACGTAGTTTACATATCACAGATAATAAGAATGAAATGTACAAATGGAAGCGAACCTTGTAGTTGACAGAAGTCTCATAAATAACCAATCAGTAAAACTTATACCGAAAATGAGTCAAAACAGAATTTCAAAGCCAGCACCCACATACTGTTCCCGCCACTACCTCTTAAAGAAAAACATTTTCGATTCCGCTTATTGAAACTAAATAAGAGAGAACAAGCATCAAACTAAGCGTAGTGTCTGATTGCTAATCTAAAGTCCTTATGAGCCATATTCCACACTTATCATAGAATATAATTCCTCGGCTGTAAGTTAACAAGAAAACTTACATCTCCATATGCTTCGAAATAAAAAGATATGAAAATTTAAGATAACGATTACTCTGCTACGACTATACTACTTCCGACCGAAAATTTTCCAAGATTTGGACCAAAACGATCGATAAGCGGCAGATTAAGAATCCAGTTATTGGACTGAATTGCTCATGCCATCTATGGCAACACGAATATTGGGATTATTCATGGGATCAAGTAAAGGATCATTATCTGCACCAGTCCCAGCACTTGTTAGAACAACAATTACAGTAACCAACATTAGCATAAAAAAGAATACAGCTATTAAAACTAATTTGCATCCAGCAAACTGTTTCCGCGAACTACTGCCATACTTCGCACTGAAAACTGGTATATTTACGTAAAAACGTCCTTTCTCGACTAAACATAGAAATCTAAAAGCGCGATTCTGGCTTACTTCCATATCCCTCTAAGCCATTCTCTTGCTGGCCGTCTCTTATACTTGTTCTGTTCACTGTCAGCATCACCATCATTGGATTTCGCCAGAAGTGGCTGCATATCGAGCTCAGAAGCGCCAGCATATTTTTTACGTGCTTAAATACAAAAAGAAAGTAGTGCACGCACAAATGTAAATCACGATAAACAATGTAAAAGCTAGTCACGTACAAGTAAACGTCACTTGTTGCCTAGCACCAGTATAAGCAATGTTCTCCATCTCGAGTGCTACGTCAGGCGTTGCAGATCCTGACCTCCAAACAAGTGTTTAGCTCCAAATGAAGCAACATCATACAATAATAGAACCTAATTTATAGTGCAAAACAAGAAGTACCGATTTGCCGAAAAGTCGTGATAGTGTTGTGGAATATTTTTTCCATTTTCCAGCCCATTTGGAAGCTGGATTGGCTTCTGCGTAACATTTGATGCATTATGAGGCTGATGGGGCACCGATGAACTCATTTCGGTAAGCTATAAAAGAGAAAAAGAAAACGCAAGAAAAATTATGTATAAAAGAAATAAGGACAACAAACAGACGAAGACGTACCAGTGGCATACCTAATCCTGCTCGCGCCCAATTTGCCTGTTGAAGTTTAGCACGAAGTTCATCAATCATCGGAGAAGTCTGATTCGTCGCAGGAAACAAAGCCTCCCTAAACAAGTATGGCACACTAAGTAAAAAAGTTGTGTAAAAGAAACTAGATGATAGGAGGGACTACAGTAACTACTCAAATACCTGCGGTCCGGAGTTTTGCAAATATCTCAGCATTATTGTTGTTTTACTCTTCAAATAGTTCCTATTCTCTATAATATCGCATGCTTCCTATATTAACCGTTCATTTGTAATTATCTTAAATCCACCCATTCATACTCAATAAGCCTTTGTACCGTTTCCACATATGCTTTCTGTAAAAGCCTTCGTACAAGCTATTCCATCTCTTTCATATTGTTTTTGTGTTAGCCCTTGTGCAGCTTTTCAGATAAACTCGCCCCACGAGCATTTGCATGCTTTCACATTTACTTTCTGTATAAGCTATTGTATAAACTTCACGAACCTTTTGTTCAAGTAGCTCTATCAGATTGTATTAGCTGAGAAACTCCTAGGACCCCTCTCTCTGAGCACTCTCTCTAGTTCCCTCAATGAAAGCCCCACTCATTACGGAAGTTATTTAGTAGCCCTATACCAGATAGTGTGTGTGAGTCCCTGTATTCCCAGTGCCTCAGCATCACTCATCCCAGTGCTCCCGCGCCTCGTTCAAATGCTTCCTTCATATCCATCCACCTGACTGCACATCATCATATTCTTATTATTGTATTGTTATTATTGCTATAAACTGTTATAAGCCAAACTCGAGGTTGTCCACGGCAGTTATGGAAAAGGACCCGCGTGGCAAGCCCATACAAAGTCGAGCACTCCACCTAAAGTTGACAGACCGAAGACAAATCCGACCAACTACTATATATTCCACTGGCCAACTAGCACAGGGATTTCCACCGCAATTCTTATTGAAAACTCGTGTTAGAGTCGAAGAAGTATATCGACAATTGATATCCAGTATTCATGAAGGTCTCCAATATGCCAATAAGCATTCCGACCTTCGTATTGATACAGTCATAACGGTGCAGCTTTCACACTTCACACTTAATTTTTCAACGAATAAAATTGTTTACTTGAGAACTTGTAGAACTTATAGAGGAGACACTGCCCAAATAAAATTTTGACAAACGACATATTTCAGGGCTTAAGGGAATTCCTTACTTCAATGAATATCTAAATAGTTTAGATGTTTCGTCGATTACTAGTCTACACCGTTCACGAAAATGATCACTATGGCAGCTTTACAAGGAAAAATCGAATCAATGAGATCTCTTGACTGACTTTGGCTCTGAGGCTTGGCTTTCTTTAGTATCTTTTCTGTTTCACTTCAATGAAGAAGTGAAATAACAAGTTAAAAATCACACCAAATGTTCTATTTCCCTTAAGGAAAAGGATATTTTGACAAACACATCATAGATCTACAAAAACACCAATGGACATGAAATTCTTAGAATGATCTAGAACAACTGCACATTTTAACTTTAAAAATCTCAGCTGGAAGTGAATGTAACAAAAGAGAACACTAAAAGTTCTCCAGTGTTTAAAAACCGTTCACACTCGCTTTTTGACTGGACGTCTGCATTTTGAACGAGCTGATTCTGGAATACTCGTCTTTTTTAAAGTTATATATCATTCAATAGGACGCAGTTGTGTCCCAGAATATGTAGGTGATTTCAGCATCTATCGCGTTTGCAGTAAACATCATAAGGTCTTGAAGTGAATCATGAAAAAAATTCACGATGAAAAAACCAGATGTGTACATACGTATGTACGCATATGTACACGCATATACCTGAACTTTATATTATCGTGCATTTTCATATTATTATAAAAACCACGATAAAACATGCAATATCATTTAATGTATAGAACAGACATCTACGACTTTTGTATTGTTTTGTACTATTATTAGTAAATCTACATTCAAAATAAAGTAATTTCTGAACATATACGCGTGTATATATACGAATGCATACATTTATGCAAGCATTGGAGTGGATTGCAGAGTGGTAGTCCGTTTACTAGGCAGATGGGCCGACCTACACTGGGTCTGGTTCAACCCCACCCTGAACTACGAATCCTCTCATACCCCCCGGTTGGGAAATCGGTAATAGACTTGTTTAGTACGAGCTCACTCCTTCTGATCCACAAAAACAGTGCCTGCATGTGACGAACCTGAGAATATCACAACACGTCTATCCTACGTTTTCTGGAAGAATCTTCTTCACTGGCTCCAAACGATGTTCACAGAGAAGACCACAATCCTGAAGCAGCAGTCGCAACCACCCACAAATGCGAAATACCTTCACGGATGATGAATTCAAGGAAACTAATCAAACGAAGCCAATACTGGTAACCGCACAATATGTGGCGTCTGATCGATCTAAGTAAAAAAAGGCCACTTCTGACACTTTATTATTGACGCGGGTTGGTATTTCGGATTTCGTCACTGAATTGCGTGATATGGAATACTTCTAGCATCGTCCTTCCGACCGTTCTTTCGACAGCCTCGGTGATCTTTTTATCGTCCTTATGTAATAGCTCCTTTAAAAACTCCAGAAACCCCTCGCTACCTACGCGTTCATCTCAGGAGCTAAGCAATTTAGAACGCTAACTTTTCGACTCGGATATAAACAATCGTGGCATTGAGAGGTATCCATCTCAGCGAAGGTGAATGACATGAGAAACAAATACACCCAGCATAAACATCGTATTTTTGAGATTTAGTTGAACATCAACCTTCCAAGAAGCTTTGTCGAAGTCGCCTAACAATTGTTCGCTCTGGCTAATGCTTAGTGATATTACCGAACTTCAACGAAGCGGTACTACCTTATCAAACTACTCTCTTCGCACACATCGAATCAATACTTTCGAAACAACATCGAAACCGACCTAGAAAGAGTATGTATTCGTTCATTGACAAAATAACACGAAGCTGATAAAAAGGTTTGTTCGGCCAACGTTTCCACCTTCGTCATCATCACAGCTCATATAGTCTACAGTCACTTGACCGCCTTCTCGACATGGTGTCTTCTTCGTCGCATGGAGTCTTATTCAGTGGAGCACCGCTTAAATGAGACAACCTCACCCTGTGATGCTCTTAGGACATTTGTTGATGAAACATTGTCTGTTGACAAAGATTTGTGTTTCAACGGTCAATTCATACTGCTACTTGGTACTATATTATTATTGCATTACTTAAATACTTGGATACTTGCATAACCCATCTTTAGTGGTTGTGCGGACTCCAGCATAATTTCCATTGTTTCGGAGTTTTGCCAGTCCAGCCACTGAGGTTCTCCGGAGTCCCGAAATAAGCCTAGCCAAAGTCTGCCTCAGGTCATCCCACCACAACCAGTCGCCGCCGTTGTGGATCATAGGGAAATTTGCTACCAATCGACTAGTTTGATACTAGGGCGGTGGTGGATCCTGGTATTCGTTTACTCTTAGCTGCGCTTCCTGATGGAAACGCCGGACCTGTTAGCTCGGGATATTCTGCTGAGGGGACAGCTGTACATCGAAGCCCGACACCCAGGAACACCTCCAAGCCACGATGAGGTGTTAAGCCGTTGGGAGGACTTTTTGTGTATTAGGTATTATATAAACTAATTGTTATCAATAGGTAATCAGTACCATCAACAACCGCCGTGTGTAAAACAGCAATGCCTGGTGAGGTTCCCTCATTCGAGCAGTGCTCCACTGAAGAAAATTCGACTCGATACGACGACGAAAACACTACATCGAGAAGAATGACTGCGGACAATCAACTGGAACCAATCCGGCTCTGAAGAAAGCGGAGACCCCGTAACTTTAGTCGAATAAACTTTTTTAGCAACCTCGTGTTAGCTTATCAAAAAAGAATATACACTCTTTTTACACCGACTTTGATGTTGCTGCAGAACCGAAACTGTAGCTGTACAACAATTGTGAACTTGTACAACGCTGAAAGCTGGGATTCTGGATATAGGAGTTACTACGATCGGTCTCGATCGCAATGTTAAACAGTAACTCATTCTTCCTGTTACATTCTGCATATAAGCGGACGTGCCCAAACACCCATGCAAGAACATGTCTATGTAAATACGGAAGATATGTGCCAAATTAGAGGTAGCAGAACCAGGGAGTACATCACCAGAACCTACCAGTATCTTTTGTATTAGTAGTTTAATATAAGCATGGAAAATGAAAGTCAGCATACATGAAAGAGCTAAGAGATGTAGAATGTTTAAAAACTTAACAATGAATAAAGTTGGCAAATAACAGGAAAACAACGGAAGAACTAGGAGAGTATCTACTACTAAACCACAACCAACCGACAGAAAGGGCAACAATACCCAGCCGGTGCAGTAGTTGCAGGAAAACGTTGAGCCCACTGATCAAGACATGACCAATGAAGCAGATCTGCAATTCCACTACATCAGAAGTGTTTGAGAAGTATTGATAGACCTAATATGCAGAGACACTTACGCAAACACTGAAGACGAATAGTTTCTGCCTCAGCCAGTGGTTTTTCGCATAATGGGCAATTCGTATCGAAGTCACAATCAGTGAGCCATTGGAGATAACTTTGAACAACGCACTAGAACAGTAATAACAAGAAATGATAAAATAGAGGAGCCATGCTTAACCACATCATACAAGGAAAAGAACGTATAAAGGATAAAGCTCTCGGTGTTGATCAACCCCTGAGGGATAGATCCCTGGATGGATTTGAAGGAAGCATTCGACTTAATTAGACATCGATGAAGGTGATTAAAAGCATATCTCGCCTTAATGACTCGAGGTGGCCTACCGATGTATCCAACCAGTGCTCCTATCCTCCCAGACAGGTCTGGTACCAATTAGCCGACCCCAGAGAGAGGGAGGGCTTGGTGGGCCGGGGGCGCAGGGATCGCACCCATGTGTATTGCAGGACACCTTCGACCACGGTGCCACACGATCTCCTATAAGGGCTTATAATGGAAACAATAGAACTTGTAAGTAAGTATATAAGTCATGCTAGTAAAAATGGTGGAAAGGAAGCTCCACACTACAAGCCACTATAGTAAATCAATATTACCCTGAAATTCCATGAACAGCGCGATTCGTAGTACAGTACGAGTCCAGCTGAATTTAATGGCCGTTATTAAAAAGATCATAAATTATTTGAAAATCCCGTGAAAAACAGTCCCAATTCCATAAAAACAAATATTACGCCAATGAACACGTTTAGATCGAGTAATATTGTAGTAAATGGTGCCCAGCGATACACATTTAGCCTGCCGTCTTTCAAGGTTCAAAATGTTAGTGCCAAACCTCTTTAAAAAATCAAAACCAAAGATGATAACTTTTTTATTGATTGCCTATTACAATTTTTCACAGCAGGGTACTACGTGAAGTACAGCCACAATTATGCTGAGATCTTTGCAAAACTCCGGACCGCAGCTGTCTGTGGTGTGGGAGGAATGCGCATACCAAGCGGGTCCTTCGTTTCGCCTATAGAAAACTAGCTGAGAGAAGGGAAAACGAAGCACCCGCATGGTGTGGTGGTGAAAGCATCACTCCCCAAAAAGGACAATAGCGTGTTAAAGCCCCACCGAGATACCAGCGGGCCGAAGTTTTGCAAATGTCTCAGCTCCATTGTGCTTATATATCACATAACACCCTGCCGCGAAAAATTGCAGTATGCAGTAAATAAAAAGTTAACATTATCAAATTTTTAGACTTCAAGAATTAAATCTGTTGGATCAACGCGCAAACATATGGACATCTATTGATTGTAGCTGGAACGAAATGATACACTTCGATATCCCAACAAAAGAGCTCGTTTTGAACTCGGCATGTCTTAACAAAACCTAAGCCTAAAGAAGGCTGCGAACAAAGGAAAAACAAATAATATAGGAATTTTAACGATAGATCAGTTTTCCACAGTAGCAACAAAACAATCTGATGTAGACTACACAGAATGCACACTGTCGGATATGTTTAGCGCAACATAAACATTATCGATTGAGACGGAGCTAATCCCGAGCATAACTCGTATTTAAACTTACATCGTGGTGGTTTTCTACCAAGCAATGCTCGCAGACGTTCACTCTGTGTTCAAAACAGAAAAGGTTCGTGACTTTTTTCCTTGGACATTTGCACAAACCCATAACTCAGGTCTAAATACGAACATTTGGATAAATGCAGCAGAGTTCGTGAACTCCTGAACAGGAAAGACGAGGGAAACAAATTTGAGTAGAACGAATGGATATTCTGGAAACTACGTAAGCATCGACAACATTGAATGTAGCACACGAACTTCCACAAAGTGAACGTAGCAGACACCAATGAAACACGTGAATGCAGAACAGAAAATCGTGCAAAATCTACAGTAAATTGGGCAAAAAAAGAGGAAAATCTGTTTAGGACCAACATCCAACATTGAATACTTGCATCGCCCGTTTTCAGTGATTGTGTGGGGTCCAGCGTATTTTCCATTGTTTCGGGGATTTGCGGTTTAGCCATTGTATATCCCAGGAGTTCCGAGGTCAACCTGGCCAAAGTCTGCTCCAGATCGTTACCACCACGGGAGGTTACTGCCTTTGTCGATCAGAGGGAGATTTGCCACCATGCTACTAGTTTGATATCAGGACGGTGGATGAGTCAGATACAGTGAAAAGGAATCTGACTACAGCATAGGTGACGAATTCCACGATGCTCATTCACTTGACAATGAGGAGTATGGCTGAGTGGTATGCCGCGATGCACAACCATGAGTTCTCAATGCTGCGCCACTCGGTGCTCCGCATGTTTTTTTTTCCGAAAATGCGAGTGGAACTGTGAAGCAGTGCCACGAATCGTCGTGGTACTGGGCTGCTGGGCTAAACGTAGCCGTAATATGACAAATCTCGCTCCAGTATTTCACGATCGGTTGCTGCCTTTCGTGGAGCCGTGATACGCCAGTGCCTCGGACGTGAGTAGCTCTGAACTTCGAGGAAACCCTTGCCCAGTTAGTAAAGCAGGAATGGTGTTTGACTGGCCCTAGGTACTGTGGATCGACTTATTGTCAAAATGTGTCATTTAAGTGGCGGCCTTCTAAAGGCACTATGCGAGATTGTAGCCATGCTTCTATCGATTGCGCGCCTCGTTTTGATTTCCTCGATGTTTAATGCCGTCGTAAGTCGCTTTTATGCTTGTCACTGTTCCTTTACGAAGTGTTCAACCCATTTTTATGAGTCGCACGTACAACAGATTGTCTTTTGGGAGGGTAGTGACCGTTGTTTTGTAGTACCGTCTCGACCTGAATGGGTTTGATTAGATTTGTCTTTCAGATGGGTTCACAAGGCAGTAAAATCGATTTCCGTCAAGCGGTTATTGATCTCACTTCCAAGAAAGGAAAGCAGGTTCGGATCTATTTTCTTTTTCTTTGTCTTTGCTTTTTTTTCATCGTGGACCTACTGTTTCGGGTTTGTTTTGCATCTTTAGGGTTGTTTCTTTTTTGATCCTTACTGTTCGATCCGAGGTCGTGGAATTTCTCTCCGTATGGGGCAGTTTATCCTGTCAATTCTTTTCAGTCCTCTATAAAAGGCTGTTTCTCCATCCATTTCATCCTTTTCTTATAAAAAAAAAAGAAAAAAAAACTGATGTGAAAGGTAATACGAATTGGAGGTGGTCTTAAGCACGGTAAGCCAATGGTCTTCTCTGTTGATTCACACCTTGACCGCTTAGGAGGATGAAGCATTTTGGGAGCAGTTATGGTCTCCGGATAGTGGGCAAGGTGTCAGTGATATTTTTGCCATGATTCCAGCTGAAGATGTTCGGAGGTTAAGGTATGCCTTTTTATAGATTTTGCTTTTTTATTGTCATAAATATATCAATTTCAGTCGTTTTTTAACTAATTACGCGTATTTTCTTATTTAGAGAAGACTATCCCAAAAATTTGGCCAGTTTGTTTTACAAAACACTAGAGAAAATTCAGCACGCAAGAGACACTCCAAGTACTTTGTCCGAAAGAAAGGTGATTTTTCCACTTTGTTCTCACGTAGTGTTTTTTTTACAGAAGTAATCTTAGCCATTAGTAATGTTTTTGCTAATAGTACTGGGAGGTGGTACAAAACTAGCTGAGAACCAGGTGAAACGAAGGACCCGTATGGTGTGGTGGTGAGCGTATTAGCTCCAGAAAGGGTAATGGCGTATTTCATCCCCAACGCAGACATTTGCCGTCCATAGTTTTGTAAACATCTCAGCATAATTATGGTTGATTTCGAGTAATATCCTGCGGTGAAAATTGTAGTAGACAGTAAATAAAAAAGTTAACATTTTGATTTCGACTGCCGCCTCAGCTTAACTGGGTTCAGTGCCCATTTGGGCTCCCAGATCAATCCCGCCGACGAGTAATTGGTGATGGCATTACTAGATAGAAAACTAATTGTTGTTACTTTTTTCCTAAATGTTTGTTTTCAACTTGTCATATCCTGGTGTTATTAAAAATGGTGCTTACTATTCCTTCATATTTTTGAAAAAAATATCGTATGCCATGAAATATACTGGGAAACCCCTTGCAGGTTATTAACTGTGTTAGACTTCTGACTCGTCTTATCCCCTACATGTACGAGGATGCCGAGTGGAGAGGCTATTTCTGGTCCTCAATACCAACAGTAAGCTATTCTATTCTGATTGTAGTTTGCCACTGGTTTTCATGCCATTCATTTGTTTTAGGGAGATGGCCAGATCCCAATGGCCAGTGTGCTTCTTGGTATTCTCTGTGATCTCCTCTTTTGCCCTGGTTTTACTGTGGGAGGTCCGAAGGTGTGGCTTCATTTTACTATGGATGGTGTATTAGTATCGTTTTTATGCGTTTACAGATAGAATTCTTACTTTTTGGCTCTTCGTTTTAGGGTAAAGTAGATAATCTCTCTTTGCTAGAAACTTGTGAGCTTATCTGGGAAGCTGGTGTTGGATTTGCAAGCAGACCTGCTTCAAACGCACAATTTGATCAAAATCGTACTGAAATCCTCAAACTACTGCTTGCATGCTTGTCAGAAGTCATTTATGCTCCAATAACAGGTAGGTGCTTACTGTGTTTTGTTCAGGCTTGAAGGCAAGTTAATAGGATAAACAGGTTTTTGAAGACGAGAATCGCCTTCGATGGGTCGCCCACTTCACATCAGCTGAAAATCGTCATGTGCTTCCGTTGTTCACTTCACTACTCAATGTAGTTTGTGCCTACGACCCAGTCGGGATTGGTTTGCCCTACAACTATCTTCTTTTCAATGATTCTCGAGAGCCTTTAGTGGAAACGGCACTTCAGGTTCACATTTTAGTCTCATCATTTACCATTTCAAATCATTATTCTCCTGTGACACTGGCAAAGGGTTGCTTTGGTATTTTTCGTGTTATACAATCATAAGATGCTGAGATATTTACGTAACTCTGGACCGCAGATGTTCGCGGTGACGATCGAACACGATATTACACTTTTGTGGGCTAACGCATTCACCACCTCACCATGCGGGTCCGTCTTTTCGTGTTAGTTTTATTAGCACTTTGTTGGTACTAGTGTTTTACATTTAAACGCCTATACAATACGGGTATTACATATATATATACATATGTATATATGTTTATGTGTACAATATTAGCAATAATGCACTCGGCGTTGATCAATCCCTGAGGGATGCGCCATGTATTCGACTTCATTAAACATCGCTGGAGGTGATTGCATGTATATCTGGCCTCTACAATGACTCGCGATGGCCTACCGATGTATCAACCCAGTGCTGCTATCCTATCTGACAAGTCTGATAACAATTTGCCGACCCCGGAGGGATGGAAGGCCTTGTGAGCCTGGGGCGCGAAGATCTATCCCACGTATGTGCTGCAGAGCCGCTTTGACTACTGCGCCACACTCGCCCTATCTAGGTATATATGTCCCATTATTTCGAATAATGTTAGGAAGGGATGAAGTTTATAATAAGAGTATTCCGTTATATTGTAGTGTCGTTGTGTATGCTCCAACAGTATGAAACTCTTCCTGGAATTATGAAGAAAAACAAGTGTTGTTCTGACAAGAGTTTTTAATTTTATTCTGAAATCGGTGCATGGAAGATATTCTATAACCGGGTTGCATTTTACACATTATAAGGCTTCTATTTCGTGTAATTTGTGTCCTTCCGACCCTTCTCTTGATTACTCTATAAACGATTCCTGAATTCTACTGCCTAGGTTTTGATCGTTTGCCTCGATAAAGACAGCCAACCAAAATCTGATGATACTGGTTATTCGGACAATTATTTCATAAATTATCTGGGTAGAATTCATCGTGAAGAGGACTTTGATTTTATGCTGAAGGTATGATTTTTTAACCAGCTCTTTCCAAGTACCGTATTGCTATACCACCACATTTTGCTTCTCTTTTAGGGGATAACACGATTACTAAGTAATCCTCTGCTCTCCACTTATCTTCCGAATTCAGCAAAAAAGATAAACTTCCACCAGGAGCTACTTGTTTTGCTATGGAAATTTTGCGAATACAACCAGGTTTGAAACAAATTCTTAAGGCTTGATGGATTCCAGTTATAGGATCGTTTTATAGGCATTCATGTTCTACGTGCTCAAAACTTCTGATGTACTTGAGATTCTTGTGCCAATTCTCTTTTATATTACTGAGTCAAGAAGTGATCCAAGTTTGTTTTTTTCCACTATATGGATGCATATGTATTCTTTTATTCGTTTTTACTGTTCTTAATTTAGTAAAGCTTTCTTTATTTTATATACTTGCAATCTCCCCACGGTTTGACTCCTCGTCGTTGCTTGGCGTGTTCCTGGGTGTCGTGGCTGCGATGTACACTTGGGGATTCATCCTCCCAGCAAGGTCTCCAAGCTGACAAGTAGTCCGGCTTATCCATGAAGAAGCCTAGCTAAAAGCTAACCAATACCGGGATCCATAAGCGTCCTCGTATTAAACCAGTCGCATGGTGGCAAATCTCCCTCTGATCCACGAGGACGGCTACTGCGTGTGGTGGTGACGACCTGGGGCAAACTTTACTTAGACTGATTTCGGGATTCCAGGGAACCACATTGGCTTAACCAGAAAATCTCCGAAAAACGGAAATTATGCTGAGGCCCGCACAACTAGTGAAGACCGGCCATCTAAGTATCCAAGTATATACTTGTGAAAACGTTGTGTGGTGGGCTAAATTTGCTACTTTAGCTTTTATTGAATAGACGCTGGACAATATCTCTAGGTGTTTCAGCACGTGTAGGTCTTGTTCACATGGGTGTGTTTCTGATACTTCTGCTTAGTGGTGAGCGGAATTTTGGTGTACGTCTCAATAAACCCTATGTCGCGAGGGCAGCGATAGATGTGCAATCCTTTACTGGGACTCATGCCGATCTCTTAATTATTGTGGGTATTTTTTGTTTTGACTTCAGATTTACAGCGTTAGTTTTCTCTAATTATTCTAGCGAATCGCGGTTCCCAGTCGTAGTTTTCTTACAGGTTTTTCATAAGTTAATCACAACAGGAAATCACCGTCTTCAATCACTATTTGACTGCCTTCTTACTATAATTGTAAATGGTGGGTGACACTTACAATTGTGTTCTATTAATTTTACTATAAGAAGTATTATTTGAGGTTTAGTGTTTTCTCTTTTTCATTAGGAGACCCGCTTCTATCTTTTGGTTTTCTTTCTTGCTTCGGAGTAGGTTTTCGAAAGGATGTTTTAGCAATCATACTTTTTCAGTATCTCCCTACCTCAAGTCGCTTTCTATGGTGGCTGCAAATAAGCTCCTTCATCTTGTGGAAGCGTTCTCAACGCCGTGGTTTCTGTTTTCGTCTCCTACGAACCATCACCTTGTGTTCTTTCTGCTTGAAGTCTTCAATAATATTATTCAGTATCAGTTTGATGGTTGGTTGTTTTTTGTTTTTACATGCTTCATTACCAATCCGAATATTTCTTTCTTTCTTTCTTTCGGAATTGCTTAGGCGTAGTGGGTTCGATACTAATGGGACTATTATCCTTCAAGCAGAAATTAGTTGTACTTAGATTCTCAATCTGTTAAATATTTAGGGAACTCAAATCTCATCTACACCATCATCCGTAAGCGTCAGGTCTTTTATCAGCTGGCAAATCTTCCAACGGACGCAGCTTCCATATCGAAGTCACTCCTTGGTCGAAAAGGCAAAGGTTTAGATGGTGTTTTAAATTTTCTCACTTTTTTCATCCAAAAGTTTTGAAAATAAGTCTGGTTGAAGAAGTATCGCGTATACATGCAGTCTTGCTATGGATGCCAGATGTATAAAAGGACAGAGTCTTTCTGAGGGAAAATTCTCTTTAATTTGTCGCTTTGATTGTTATAAACGACAAACTGTTAGTGAATTTCGTCGAGTTTAGCTAGAGAAGAAATAATTGACCAGCTGAAGAGCCCCACGGCTCATGTGCCACCAGAAACCCATGCTGGTATGTTCGTTTAAGACTTTCTTGTTTTTTTTTCGATATTTGCCACGTTCTGCTATGTTCTAAATAATTGAAAGGTTCAACTGCTGGGCTAGCAGCTACACCACAGGTAACTGGCGTGTCAAACAGTACTGACGACGTCAGTAACAAAGTAGCTCCAGAAGGTATTACGATCTCTTTTTATATAAATTAAATAGTCGCTTACAGTACTAAACTAATCATGTGTCAGTGTTTTTCAATATTGTCCGTAATGTCAACTTTTAATTCGCTGGCTAATACAACTTTTTACGGGCAGGTGTTATGTGAAATATAGCCGTAGTGATGCTGAGATATTTGCAATACTCCGGGCCGTTGGTGTCTGCGGTGGGAACGAACGTGCTATTACCTTTTCCGAGGGCTAACGCGTTCACCACCGCACCATGTGGGTTCTTCGTTTCGCCTTTCTATCAGCTAGTATTCTATCTACCGGTGCCATCAGAAACCACCCGTCAACGGGAGTGATCTGGAGAGCGCAAGTCGGCATTGAACCCAGTTAAGCTGAAGCTGTAGTCAAAACCAAAATGTCAACTTTTTACTTACTGCCAATTGTAGTTTTTTACGGCACGATACTATGTGAAGTACAGCCATAATGATACCTTCCTCTCCTTCCCGCCTGAAAGGGTAATAGAGGGTTCGGTCATCACCACAGATATCAGCGGTCCGGAGTTTTGCAAATATCTCGGCAACATTATGTTTATAATTCTTTATAATCTTGTTGAGCAAACGCGAGGTGTTATTTAATTCTTTATTAAATAACAAGCTGACGTTTCGGCGGATTTCGCCTACCTCAGAGTCTGAAAAGATCGAGTTGGCCGCAATCTACCCAGCGAAACACTTCCATAAGCAAACAGAGAAAATGCTTAACCAAAACTTCAATCACAGTGAACACAGAATAGTTTCATCGCGTACTCACCGCTTTCTATGGGTCTCCCACTGAATACGTTACGTGGAGACCAACTGCACAGAGTTTACATTGAAGCGTAATGTGCCTCTGACACCAAAACAAGAGTCTTAATTACCGCTCGATATTACACATGATTATGAGGCATTCCTCTCTGCGGTTCATTTTCGGGTTCTTGGATTTAATCCAAAATTTCCGAGAATTTTGCGCGCTTGTGTTTTCGACTGCTGTGCGAGGATCGTCACTTCTGCTTTAAAATCTTCACCGTTATGTCTCTGTGTCCTACACGTGCCTAATGGGGTACTTGGTTTAACTTTAAGTTTACCGAATAGATGTTCTTTTATATGGACACAGTACTCTACCAGTTTCGCCAATGTATTCGTCTCCGCACGCTCTACAAGAGATCAGATAAACTGTGCCCGAACTCATGCAATCACTGCTTCTACCACTGAGGCAAACCATACAATTTTGCGTTGTGCATAGACGGTCATACAGGCAGTTTCGAACTAATTGGTTTCTTAGAGTGGTCGGTGGTGTTACGATTATTCTTACCGAATTCTCTACACCGACCCTTTTTAAGCAGCGTGTCATAGCTGCACTTAGTTCGTTTGCTTGCCTGAGTGAATGCCTGAACTGCTTTTAATCTTCAGATGGTTCGGAATGTATTGTGGTCAAATAAGAGGGTTGGCAATGGGACAGCGACAGGCACCATGCCTTGCCATTGCGTTTATGTCTAAGGTGGAAGCACCGGTGACCGATCTCGGGCAACTACTCTACTGTAGACATATTGATGACTGCTTTGTCGTTTGCTCAACGCAAGAGGAAATGTACAAATGTTTCAAGTTGTGGAACGAACAGTCAGTATATATACAGAATAGTATAATTATATAGTTATTTGTGAAATATCTCGAAAGTGGTATATTTTTGCTCCGAAAAATCTTCAGTTTTCCAAAGTGACTGGTGAAGGAATTGCTACTTAACATAAGACAACGATGGACAGCGGGAGACCATCCTCCTAAGAAGATCGTTCAAGAGAATCGGGAGTTCGACATATTGTTTGCTAAAAATAACCAAATAAGATGTGGGAATGCGACTTCCTTTGGTGAGAACCTTAGAACTTCCTATTAAAGTCGCTTCGGTGCTCTCGAAAACAAAAACAAGTAGCTCAAGAACAGTGAACCAACCAACTCATTTTTTATCGCAGGAAGTAGGATTGCCGCATGGGATCAAAAAGTGTGATCCACACATACCTGTGATTATCCTCCATCTTCAACTTACCGAAATAGAGAAACGATGTTTGTAGTTGCTGGTCATTAACTTCTGATCCTCATAAGAGCGAAGCAGACACGTAGTTACTCGAAGAAAATAATCGAAATTAGACTTTTTTCTTAGAAATTAGACAGAAGACTTTCTATAGAAATCTTTTCGAAGAACCAGACAGTGACGGGTTTCCACGTGGCATTTTCAGTGGAAGACCCATGAAAAGCGGTGAATATAAGATGAAGCTCCCACGACCGACTTTCTATTAACCTCGGCATTGATCAAGTAATTCTTCGTATTTTTGTTGAGCAAACGCGAGGTGTTATTATTCTTTATTCACAAATGAGCTGACGTTTCGGCGGATTTCGCCTTCCTCAGAGCCTGGAAAGGTCAAGTTGACAGCAATCTACTTGGCCAGACGCCTCCATAACCAAACAAAGAAACTCTAAACCAAGATTTCAATCACATTGAACACAGCTTTGCACACTCACCGCTTTCTATGAGGTCTCCACTAAGTATGTCACGTAGAGACCAACCGCACAGAAATCACATGAAAGTATAATGTACCCCACTCATCAGAATAGCAGTCTTATATACTGCCCTACATCACGCGTGATAATGAGGCATTCTTCCCTGCGGTTCATTTTCGGATTTCTGGAATTAATCCAGAGTGCCTCGAGAGTAGACGGGCCAACGGACAGGATAACATGGTTTTTAACCCTAATATTTAACCAGTTGTTGAAACACATTCCAGCCCATCT